TCTTGTTTATTTCCTCTTATCTCCATGGGGAAGTGGAAAAGAATTCTTCCTCCGTAAGCCATGCGTGTTGTAAGAGGCGACTAAAATGCTGGGAGCAAGGGCCTAGTAACCCCTTCTCCTTTACAAATTACTAAATTTCAAAAGACAAACTTTCGTTTTTCTTTTTGGGCCACCCTGCCTTGGTGGGAAATGGCCGGTTTGTTGAAAAAAAAAATAGTAATACTAATAATAACAGTAAAGAGAAACTTCAAAAGGCTGCAAGTAGTTGGCACCACTATCAGAAAAACATTGGTAACCACTACTAGTACACTTTTCACCTGTCTAGACTTAAGTAGTCTATTAGTACAGTAGACTGTTATTCAGCACGGTAGTTACGTTCCTGAAAATGTTGTTAGGTAAAAAATTGTGCTAATTAAACTGAAGAACTTATGGGAAAAATAGGGTTACGTTCCTGGGAGTCCCCAAAAAGCCAAACAACTTTTTTTTATACCAACAGATCTTACAAAAATAAAAGTGAACACGTAATTGTAGTTCATTGTCGTGATATATTACTGCTCAAAAATTACAAATGCAATAGAAATAATAGTACAGTGGACCCCCGCCTTACAATATTAAGCCGTTCCTGAGAGCTCATCGTAAGCTGAAATTATCGTAAGGCGAATTAATTTTCCCCATAAGAAATAATGAAAATCAAATTAATCCGTGCAAGACACCCCAAAGTATGAAAAAAAAAATTTTTTTACCACATGAAATATTAATTTTAATATACACAAACTGAAGAAGACATGCACAATTACTACTCTACTAAGAATAGAATACATGACACTTACCTTTATTGAAGATCTGGTGATGACTGATGGGATGGGAGGAGGGGAGAGTGTGGAAGTTTTTATTGATGAGAAGGGGAATCCCCTTCCATTAGGACTTGAGGTAGCAAGTCCTTTTCCGGGGTTACTTCCCTTTGAGAGTCACTGGACCTCTGTCGCACAACAAATCTGTCCATAGAGCTCTGTACCTTCCGTTCCTTTATGACTTTCCTAAAATGGGCCATAACATTGTCATTGTACAGGTTGCCAACACGGCTTGCAGTAGCTGTGTCAGGGTGATTTTTATCCATAAAGGCTTGTAGTTCAACCCACTTTGCACACATTTCCTTAATCTCTTTTTTCAATTCCATACTAATTCTCGCCCTTTTTATCACAGGGATGGCACTAGAAGCTTTCTTGGGTTCCTTGGTGTCTTATTTTGCAGTTACAAGCCCTAAAAACACTGGAATAATGTGAAATGTACCGAATGTATGCGTAGATGCGACCACACTGGCTGGCTTGTAAACACTGGCGCTGAGGCCACATGTGGGATGCGTCCTGGATGAATCACGTAAGGCAAGTTTTTTATCGTGAGGCGAGGCAAAATTTTTGCGTTCAAATGCTTCGTATGGCAGATTTAACATAAGGCGATCCATTCGTAAGGGGGGTCCACTGTATTTCTTACCTTAAACTGTGAGTAATGGTGTGTGTGGATGATTGTAGAGAGAGTGGATATGGATGGTGTGGCCCTACTGGGCTGAGGTGGATGACTGTTGGTTGTCGACAGAAGTGGATGGTAGAGGTTCTGGTACTGAAGTCGATGGTTGTATTGGAGTGTGCATAAATTCTGTAATGGTTCTCTAGGCTGTTTTACCCTGCAATACATTGTACAGCTGACGGTAAGGCATTATCAGCTGGTCTAGACCCCGTTTCAAAGCACTACTTCTAGATTTGTCAGGGTCCACTTCAGTGAAAAAGTCTGCAACTTCACCAATAATAAGGAACTGCTCACATAACTGCTGCAATGTTAACTGTTTTTCATCAGGTTTTTCTTCATCTTCTTCTTCTGTTATGTGGCTCCCCTGTATCTGTGCATCGAGCTCCTGTCTTCATCATTATTATCTTCTAAAAGCTCATTCACATCGTCTTCATTCATATCTTCAAAACCATCACCTGGTAATTTCCTTGCCAGCTGAACAATTTCCTGAACCTGACTCTCAAACAAGGGGAAACCAGTGCAAGAATTAACCACAGAAGGCCATAACTTTCCCCAGCCAGATTGAGGCACTTCATTCCATGCACTTCTAGCATAGCTGATAGCATCTGCAATGTTAAATTTATTCCAGAAGGATGGTACTGCCAAGTTGGAGTCAGAGTCCATTGATGCAACTAGTTTTTTCATAACTTTTTTTGTGTAGTTACACTTGAATGACTTAATAACTCCCCAATCCAGTGGCTGTATTAACCCTTTGGGGGTCACCAGGCCATCTCAGAAACTTGTTCTCAGGGTCGCCAAAATTTCAAAAAAAAAAAAAATTATTATTTCTTATGAAAAGATAGAGAATCTTTACCCGATCATAATGACACCAAAAGTATGAAATTTGATGGAAAACTTACGAAATTATGCTCTCACGAAGTTAGCGGTCTCGACAATGTTTACGCATCGGTGATTTTGCTCACTTTGAGCTCTATTTTCGGCCAATTCCAGTGTACTAGTCGACAAAAATCATAACTATTTCACTAGAACTCCATTTTTTCTATCGAATGAGTACAAGAAACCACCCATTTACTGAAAAAGTGGTCAGAATTTAGCAACTTTGCCAATTTCACACAAATTTCAAAAGATGCCAATTTCCGAACAGGGTCCAGAATATAACAAGAAAGACATTCCTGGCACTAAAATAACAAGTTCTCTGTTCGTTAGTCACATCCCCAGGCCCCTCTTATATTTCTTTGGCTTTCCACTTTGAAGTTTTATTCTTACAAAAAATAGAAGATTTACTGTTATGCAGACTACTGCATTAGTGTAGAAATGGTATAAATAATATCAGAACACTTGTGAAAGAATATTAGACTTACCAGTTGATGTGTATTGGACGCTTGGCATGATTTGTTTACTTTTGAACTTTGGTAAAATCTGAACATTTCTGCTACTTTGAGCTCAATTTCAAGGTACTTTTCATTGTAAAACCAGTCAAAATCATCTCACTTTCTGTAATATGTCTTCCATTCTATAAAATGAGACAAAGAAAACTAGAATACAACAATAAATGCCATACGAAAATACAGTACAAAGTCGCTGTTTTAATCCAAAAACACGGTCAAAGTTTTTTTCTCATTACGCACTGTGTGCTGCAGGATATTTTTTATACTGCGCACACTGACCACATAGACCCATTCTTTCATATGTAGGCCTACCAGCTTTCTCTCACTAGATTTGAGGGAGTTAGAATTTAGGCGTACTAGTACGTCAAAAACCCTGGGGCGTAAGCCGTACTAGCGCGTCCGAAACCCCCAAAGGGTTAAAGATGTTGTATTTGGAGGTAAAAATACAACTTTTACATGTGGGGTCACATCCAGCAAAGCTTGTGGATGAGTACAGGAATTATCAAGAATGAAGAGAGCCTTGAATGCAAGGTTCTTGCTGTGCAGGTAAAACTTGACTTCAGGAATAAAGTGATGCTTAAACCAGTCAATAAATATTTCCTCTGTCATCCGTGCTGACTGGTTTGACCTCCAAATTACTGGTAAGGTGTTTTTATCTACACCTTTCAAAGCACGAGGATTCTTAGAGCGGTAAATAACCATGGACTTACACTTGAAATCACTTGATGCATTACTGCAAAGGAGCAAGGTGATGTGATCCTTTGCTGTCTTGAAGCCTGGTGCACTTTTCTCTTGCTGACTGATTTAAGTTTGTGTTGGCATTTTTTTCCAAAAAACACTTGTCTCATCAGCATTAAACACTTGATGTGGCTCATAGCTACCCTCAGAAATAATTTCCTGCAATTCAGCAGGAAAATTACTTGCTGCTGTATGATCAGCTGAAGTACCTTCACCAGAAAACTTAATATTATGTAACTTATTATGCAACTTAAAGTTGTAGAACCAGCCTGTGCTGAACATAAACTCTTTTTCAGGCTTTTCTTCCTTATCACACACTGCTTTAAACAACTGTAAGGCCTTTTCCCTAATTAAGAGGAAATTAAGTGGTGCACCTTTCTTTGTCTTTTGTTCAATCCACTCAAGCAACAGGTTTTCTGTTTTATTTACTTGTTGGGACCTAGGTGTCATTCTTTTCATGAGATGGCATCTTGGGTTATTCATTACACAAGCTCATTTATTCGCCTCGTTCTTTTTAATTGTATGAACCGATGCTTCATTAACGCCATAGGCCCTCACTATATCCACCACAAGTGATCCGCTCTTAAGCTTGTCTAATATCTCAATTTTCTTCGCAATTCCTAGACTTGAACGCTTAAACCTTTTCTTGTCACTTTCAGCAACACTTGTATGCTTACTAGGTGCCATTATTGCTTGGCAGATTTAACAAATGGCAATGAAATTAAGAAAATATGTATGTATATAAACACAGCTAGGTTCCCGAGTACCTCTGTCCTGCACGCGTATGAACCAAACTGGAGGCTGGGAGCGTGGTGGGGGTGGGTGTGGGTGGCAGGGGGATGGCAGTAGGCCTTCCCCATTGACTCAATGGTATAACCCACTGCGGGCAACCGGGCGACCGCGAGGTCAAATTTTTTTCCCTTCCCGCGAATCGTGTTAAATTGATCGTACGACGTGTTACATAAAAATGTGTCGCAATTCTTCAATCATGCTATACTCAAATTGTGCCAAATAAACTCATGCTAAATAACGGTCTACTGTATTAGGTTAAGTCTGCCCAAAATGCCTCAGCATGATATTGGCTTTCTTTGCTCCACTCATGTTATGATAAGTAAACACATACTGTAACCTTTGCAAAAAAATAAATATTTTATTTGTTTATTTATTTATTTAAGGAACCTCCCTCGAGGGTGAAGTTCACATTCTGAAATTTCATTCGTATCCAGAAGCAAAAAATCAACCGAATGACAGTTCATATCCTGAAAAAGCTGAGGTTCCACTGTACTAATGTATATATGCATAGTAGTATATTGCAAAGAAACAAAACTCTGGTCATTATTTTATACCTACCAAGAATATATACCAAGTTGTCATGAGTAGCAACAGCACAGTATGCCCTGGCTTTCTCCATAGCAGGGAGGACTTGAAACTGGTGTTCATTATGATCATTATGTTGTACACCTGCATCAGGTATGCTACAGCGCCACGATGAGTAACCAAGGGCAAAGCATTCAACATTACCGAGCAGACGACCATTTGACTCGCCTCCCATTACAAGTAACACCTTGGCACAAGGAACAGGTTCTGTTAGGTCATTTTAAACAGAATACAAGTGTTACAGCTGAAATTAAATAAAAATTACCCTATACTGTACTTACTAAATAAATAATGAGTTCATTACAAATACTATATTGTAATTAGCTGTCATAAAACTTTACATATCCTATAATCATGGTGATAAATAATAATATACCTTCCAGTGAATAACATGGCTTCCAGGTAACTCAAATTTATATAAATCAAACTTAATTCCAAAGAACTAAAACAATCATACAGTACTTTATTAACATGTTTTATTTTTTTTTTTTTAACAAGCTGGCCATTTCCCACTGAGGCAGGGTGACCCAAAAAGAAAGAACCCCCCCCCCCCAAAAAGAAAAAACTTTCATCATTCAACACTTTCACCATGACTCATGCATAATCACTGTCTTTGCAGAGGTACTCAGATCTGACAGTTTAGATGTCCCTCCAAACTGTCAATGTCCTAAACCCCTCCTTTAAAGTGCAGGCATCATACCTCCCATTTCCAGGACATGAGTCCGGCTAACCAGTTTCCTTGAATCCCTTCACAAAATATTACCCTGCTCACACTCCAACAGCTCGTCAGGTCCCATAAACCATTTGTCTCCATTCATTCCTATCTAACATGCTCACACATGCTTGCTGGAAGTCCAAGCCCCTCGCCCACAAAACCTCCTTTACCCCTCCTCCCTCCCAACTTTTCAAGGACAACCCCTTCCTCGCCTTCCTTCCCCTACAGATTTATATGCTCTCCAAGTCATTCTGCTTTGTTACATTCTCTCTAAATGACCAAACCACCTCAACAGCCCCTCTTCAGCCCTCTGACTAATACTTTTAGTAACTCCACACCTCCTAATTTCCACACTACGAACTCTGTGCATAATATTTACACCACACATTGCCCTTTAAATTTATTGAGTGGAAATTATATAGCAGAAAATAGTCATAAGAACATAAGAAAGGAGGAACACTGCAGCAGGCCTGTTGGCCCATACTAGGCAGGTCCTTTAAGAACATAAGAAAGGAGGAACACTACAGCAGGCCTGTTGGCCCATACTAGGCAGGCCCTTTAAGAACATAAGAACATTAGAAAGGAGGAACACTGCAGCAGGCCTGTTGGCCCATACTAGGCAGGTCCTCTACAATTCATCCCACTAACAAAACATTTGCCCAACCCAATTTTCAATGCTACTCAAGAAATAAGCTCTGATGTGCAAGTTCCACTCAGATCCAACCCCTCTCACTCATGTATTTATCCAACCTAAATTTGAAACTACCCAAAGTCCTAGCCTCAATAACCCAACTAGGTAGACTGTTCCACTCATCAACTACCCTATTTCCAAACCAATACTTTCCTATGTCCTTTCTAAATCTAAACTTACCTAATTTAAATCCATTACTGCGAGTTCTCTCTTGGAGAGATATCCTCAAGACCTTATTAATATCCCCTTTATTAATACCTATCTTCCACTTACACACTTCGACCATGTCTCCCCTCATTCTTCGTCTAACAAGTGAATGTAATTTAAGAGTCTTCAATCTTTCTTCATAAGGAAGATTTCTAATGCTATGTATTAATTTAGTCATCCTACGCTGAATGTTTTCTAACGAATTTATGTCCATTCTGTAATATGGAGACCAGAACTGAGCTGCATAATCAAGGTGAGGCCTTACTAATGATGTATAAAGCTGCAGTATGACCTCTGGACTTCTGTTGCTTACACTTCTTGATATAAATCCCAGTAATCTATTTGCCTTATTACGTACACTTAGGCATTGCTGTCTTGGTTTAAGGTTGCTGCTTACCATAACCCCCAAGTCCTTTTCGCAATCTGTATGGTTAAGTTCTACATTACTTAACTTTTAAGTGCTAGGGTTACGGACACTCCCGAGCTTCAGAACCTTGCATTTATCTACATTGAACTGCATCTGCCATTTTTCTGACCAAGAACAGAGTTTGTCTAAATCCTTCTGAAGTTCCCTAACATCTACGTTTGAATCAATTATCCTACCTATCTTTGTGTCATCGGCCAATTTGCTCATATCACTAGTGATTCCTTCATCAAGATCATTGATATATATTATAAACAACAACGGGCCCAAGACTAATCCCTGTGGAATGCCACTTGTACTGATCCCCACTTGGATTTAACCCTATTTATGGACACTCTGATTCCTGTCTGTGAACCATGATTCGATCCACGAGAGCACCCTTTCCCCAATGCCATGAGCTGCCACTTTCTTTAACAGTCTTTGGTGTGGAACTCTATCAAAAGCCTTACTAAAATCTAAGTAAATAATATCAAATTCTTTATCGTGGTCAACAGCCTCAAAAGCTTTACTGAAGAAAGTTAATGAATTAGTTAGACAAGACCGGCCTCTTGTGAATCCATGCTGAGTATCATTAATCAAGCTATGCTTACCGAGATGGCTTCTTATAATCTCAGCTATAATTGACTAGTAATTTGCCTACAATTGAGGTCAGACTTATTGGGCGGTAATTTGACGGTAACGACTTGTCCCCTGTTTTAAAAATAGGAATTACATTAGCCATCTTCCACATATCAGACACTACACCTGTTTGAAGAGATAAATTAAAAATATTAGTTAATGGTCCACAGAGTTCCATTTTGCATTCCTTAAGAACCCTTGAAAAAACCTCATCAGGACCTGGTGACTTATTTTGCTTCAGTCGGTCTATCTGCTTCACAATCATTTCACTAGTGACTGTGATGTTACATAATTTATCTTCTTCTGGCTCACTAGTGACTGTGATGTTACATAATTTATCTTCTTCTGGCTCACTATAAAAATTAATCACTGGAATATTGTTAGAGTCTTCCTGTGTAAAAACCGAGAGAAAATAATTATTTAAAACCGAGCACATTTCATTCTCTTTGTCAGTAAGATGCCCATAGTTATTTTTAAGGGGACCTATCTTATTTCTAACTTTTGTTCAATATACCTGGAAAAAGCTTTTTGGGTTAGTTTTAGAATCCCTAGCAACTTTAATTTCATAGTCCCTTTTAGCTTTTCTTATCCCCTTTTTAATGTCCCTCTTAATGTCAATATACTGATTCATAAGATGACCCTCACCTCTTTTGATATGCCTATAAATTCCTTTCTTATGCCCTAGTAGATATTTCAGCCTATTAAACATCCATTTTGGGTCATTTCTATTTGATCTAATTTCTTTATACGGGATAACCGTTCTTTGAGCAGCATGTGTAGTGTTCAGAAAACTGTCATAGTGATAGCTCTCTTCATTACCCCAGTCAACAGTTGATAAGTGTTCTCTAAGCCCATCGTAATCTGCTAAGCGAAAATCTGGGACTGAGTTATCCCTACTATCATACTTCCATTCAATGCTAAATGTAATTGATTTGTGGTTGCTAGCACCCAGTTCCTCTGAAATTTCTGAATTATTAACAAGGGATTCATTGTTTGCCAGAACTAAGTCAAGCAGGTTATTACCCCTTGTAGGTTCTGTCACAAACTGCTTCAAAAAACAATCCTGAACTACTTCTAAGAAGTCGTATGATTCTAAATTCCCAGTCAAGAAATTCCAATCAATATGACTAAAGTTAAAGTCTCCTAGAATTACTACATTATCGTGCCTTGTGGCCCTAACAATTTCCTCCTATAGTAGTCTCCCCTGGTCCCTATCTAAGTTTGGGGGACGGTATATCACACCTAAAATCAATTTTTCATGCCCCTCTGAAAATTCTATCCAAACAGACTCTGTATGTGTTACTTCAGACTTAATACCCGTTTTTATGCAACAGTTCAAGAGATCTCAGACATACAATGCCACCCCACCCCCCTTCCCAATACTTCTATCCTCCCAGCAATCTCAGAATTAGGAATTTCCAATCTAGAATGCTCATCACTAAAGTATGCCGGCTCCCCCTCTCCAGCCATGGCACAAATTAGGTCATCCTTTACACTTTAGGACATCCTTCAGCTGCTGAGAAGTGACTGACACACATTCTTCAGGATTTCTGGGGGGGGTAAATTCTCCAACTCACGGATGGCAACCTCCAGCCATGGAAGTGGGCTGATGTACTTTCCCTGTAGATTTCTCTTTATCACAACCCAGAGGCTTTCCATGGGGTTTGAGTCTGAGGAATCACCTGGCCAGTCACTGAAGATTACATCATAGTCGCAAAAGCACTGAACAACTAATTTTGCAGTGTTACAAGGAACACTGTTTTGCATAAAAATCTTTGTACCACACTGCATGAAAGATTCAGGCAAATGATCGCAGAACAATTCAAGATAAGTTATTACAGTTGATGTTAGGAGGGACATGTTTTTAGGCTTCCCTGGATGTGCTTCTGGTGTGGGAATGTCGTATCCACCTCCCTCATGGAACAGATGCAACCAGATCCTCATTGAATGCTTATACACACCGATGCCTTCTCCTATTTCCTTCATTTGACAGCCTGCCTCATGTAATCTAATTATCTTTGCATCTATCTCTTTGTATCAATGACTTACTCTTGACAATATTTATTTTTCTATGGCCAAAAATGTCCGACAATCTCGGTGTTCAAGATCACATGTTGCATGAAGACCATGGACACAAATTCATCCACCACACATGCCCAGAAGGCACTTAGGATACATCCAGTAGCCTTAGGGAATACTGAGATGACCCACTACGAGTTGCCAGGCCAGCATAACTTCTTGCCACACCAAAACACCTAACAGGATAGGGCATATTAAGTACCAGCACCAACAGCCTGATTGATCAGGGGTCACTCTGGTGGCCTTTTCATCAGCCATAATAACAGTTTTAAGAATTCATTTAATTTTGGATATATTTGTATCAATTTAACAATCACTATGTATGATATCCAGGAGACTAGGCCAACACTTTATTATTAAAATAATCTTTATGCTTATTTAATAGTGAAGCAGATTAAAGGATATAATAAGCAGTCAAGAAGGTAAAATATTGCAGTTTCAGTGTTCTTATGTCAGTAGAATTTAAGATGTTTACATTTCTTTATACATAAGTACAGAAGTAGCTTTAGCAAACCTTTTTTTTTTTTTTTTTTTTTTTTTTTTTCAACAAGTCGGCCGTCTCCCACCGAGGCAGGGTGACCCAAAAAAGAAAGAAAATCCCCAAAAAGAAAATACTTTCATCATCATTCAACACTTTCACCACACTCGCACATTATCACTGTTTTTGCAGAGGTGCTCAGAATACAACAGTCTAGAAGCATAAACATATAAAGATACACAACATATCCCTCCAAACTGCAAACTAGCAAACCTACTACTATTAAATAATAATCAAGTGAAAATTAAGTACCAGGACTGTTTCACTGCTTCAACCATACATGAACACACACACACACCACTAGAGAACACATTAGTATCAATAAAAATACATATTCACCAAAGTATCCATTACCAAGCAAACCATTGGTAGACAACAAATATCCCTGGAATATATAGTGAATATCCATCTATGGAGTGGGACATGCAACACCAGCAATGTCACCAGAAGTCAGAGCAAGTCTCTAGTGTGCAAGAACGGTATAAAATACTGACAAGATGAAAGTTAAGACACATGTGCAACATCTGGTTATCTGTGTTGTAGACGTTTTGCCATCCAGTGGCTTTATCAATACAGATTCTAGGACAATTAGAAGACAGTAGAACTATATACAAAAGATGAGGTAATCGTGCCCTTAGCCTTGGGGCTGGTGTTGAGAGCACTGTGGTGGTAGAGATTCTGGATCAAAGGCAAGGAGACTGGCATTTATATAGGTGTCAGTGGATAGGGACGTGTAGCAGACGAGGGCATAGTCACTGGTAGGCGGCATTCCCCAGTGGAAGTAGGTCCTACCCAAAGGGATGAGTTAGTTGTAGTAGCCATGAAGGTTTTGTAGATGTCCTCTGAACCAAGATTCCATGATGTTGCAGTGTCTGACAAGTTGTGCAAGAAAGGTACAGTACATAGTTCTACTGTCTTTTAATTATGTCCTAGAATCTGTATTGATAAAGCCACTGGATGGCGAAACATCTACAGTAAAGATGACCAGATGTTGCACATGTGTCTTAACTTTCATCAAGTCTCCAGTGACAGTTGGTTATACAGTACAGGAAATTCCTCTGGGAGTGAGTGAAGTATGCCAGAGGTGTCAGTCGAGAATAAGAGAGTTTTTATATTCACCACCCGAAGAATTCTGAGAAGAGAGTAACAATACTAGAATTCATTTTAAGAATGGGCAACCCAAGGCATGTGTGGCAAAGCTTCCAAGTGGCAGTGGGGTACCTGCTGCATTTCTTTTTTAGGTTATTACCCACCAATACACACCTATGTTACTTGACTGCATGACTACACAATGTTACAAAAGATCTCACAGAATTACATGATGGCACATTCAAATCACATGAGCATTATCTCGGACTGCAGTAGTGAAAAACATTTATCTCCAAATGTCCACCCTAAATCACTGCACAGCAATAACTGAATACCTGAAATAATATGCAATACAAGTAAGAATAACTACAATAATAATAATAATAATAATAATAATAATAATTTATGTCAACTTGTGAAAGTTTGTTCATTGGTTAACCCTTAAATGGTCCAAACGTATATATACGTCCACATGTGTAACGCCCCAAATTTTTTGAGAGGAAAAAAATTTTTTTTTTTTAATAGGAAAAAAGAGCATATGGTACCCAGGCATCCCCAATTATTTTAATATGGCGCACAGTGAGTGCACACACCCATTCTCTCATGTCTAGGTGACTCAGGCTTATCATGGAAATGTTGAATGAATGATAAAGAAAACGTATATATACGTTTGGGGCGCTACGCACATGAACGTATATATATGTTTGGACCGTTTAAGGGTTAATCATACTTTATTCTATATAACATGTGGTTTTTGATAATTTAAACTATTTCCACCATTACAATGCTCATCATTAAACTTATCTGGGTGGATTCCTCCACTCAGACAAGTTTAATGATGAGCACTGTTATGGTGCTTGACTGTATAGTACAATAATGCAATGTATTATATGTTCTTTACTTTCTTCATCATTTACATTTTGTTCATTAGAAATTGCAATAAATTGCATAACTAACCTCTTCCTGCGAATTATGACGTATTTTCTTAGCAGAATCCTCTTGGTCATCAGAACCTTCTTCAGTTCCATATGAGTCAATATCCAAAGGTGTCAAAATATGCCTTAAATCATCTGACAAAAGATGCTTTTCCTCCAGGGAAGCTATCCAGCTAATTATTGTTTGACTGTTGAGAAACCTAAGGTCTATCTTCTCAATAAAAGCTGGTAACCATTTCTTTCTCTTATCTGGATCCTTACATGTCCAACGTATTATACCCTTAAAAAAAGAATGGTGATAAGTGAGACTTTACATTTTATTTTTTTTTATTAACACATTGGCCATTTCCCACCAAGGTAGGGTGGCCCAAAAAAGAAAAACTTTCATCATCATTCACTCCATCACTGTCTTACACTACACTTACACTACAAGTGAGACTTATAAACACTATTCCATTAACAGTAATCAATACAATACTTATAAAATATATACTATGTGTACTCTAATGATTTTGACAATAAAGACTAATTGAACACAATACAATACTGACATATATAGCTTATTCTAACACAAAACTCTCTCTCTTTTAGATACATATTTGCCTATGGGTGTCATATTTTTTAAATTTAGTTATCTAGAAGAAAAACTTGTCAATTTCAGTGGCTATTGAGGGAATGTAAAAAAGAACTGCAATAACTGTGCTGTAAATTAAACCAATAACTGGATTATAATACTGTACAAGCAGGAGTTTAAAAAAAAAAAGTTGCATCATTTAGTACACAAACCTTTAACAGTTCCTCCTCTGACTCAACACTGAGGTATGGCTCTTTAAGGAGTGTTAACAATGTTTCCGGCTGAAGTGTTAAGAATGCTGGCTGAAGGAGCACCTCGGAGCAGAGAGAGCAAGCCAGTGCTAGAGCATCAGCAGCTAGATCATAACACCGATGGAGAGTAGCAACCTCATACACACCGAGGCATGTTTCCATAACTAAGTGGTTCTTTAAGAGTAGAGACAGTAAACTTAATTCATATATACATAATAATAATAATAATAATAATATCTTTATTTACTACAAGTACATGTACATGGTATACAGGTCTACATTATGATAAAGCATGACTCAATAAACTATTGCAAAACTAAAAATAATGCACTCATTTATTTACATTTTTGTAAAGGTCATAACAAACATTTTTAATTTCCTATTTTCCCTATGATTTTGCTTTGGTGTAATTACTTATTTGTAATTATCTATGTGGTTACAGGAATGTATTTATGCACCTGGTATTTTTCATAATTTTAAACTCTGTAATCACCCCCCTTCAGAGGCATCGTAAGGGGAGGTGATGGGCTGTTCTAGGTGACACCATTTAGGGGGTGACACCATAGAGCTTCTGAAGAAGGTGACACTAATGCACAAAACAGTGCTGCACCAACATAAGAGAAGAATCCTTCATTTCTATATAGCCTATTATATATTAACAAAGTACAAATAAGCCTATATAGTGAAAATCATTGATTTTGATGATGTGATAGATGATGTAGCATGTCAGGGGAGACATGATAACGACATATAAAATACAGCGCTGAATAGACAAGGTGGACAAAGACGGGATGTTCCAGAGAAGGGACACAGACACAAGAGGTCACAGTTGGAAGTTGAAGACTCAGATGAATCAAAGGGATGTTAGGAAGTATTTCTTCAGTCATAGAGTAGTCAGGCCGTGGAATAGCCTAGAAAGTGACGTAGTGGAGGTGGGAATCATACATAGTTTTAAGGCGAGGTATGATAAAGCTCATGGGGCAGGGAGAGAGAGGACCTAGAAGCAATCAGCGAAGAGGCGGGGCCAGAAGCTATGACTCGACCCCTGCAACCACAAATAGGTGAGTACAAATAGGTGAGTACATGTGTATGTGCACACACACCCAGCCAAGCACGTAAGGAAACTACAGAAAGTGCAAAGGCTTGCAACAAGACTAGTCCTGGAGCTAAGGGGTATGTCCTACGAGTAGAGGTTAAGGAAAATCAACCTGACAACACTGGAAGACAGAAGAAATGGGGAAGGTATGATAAGGACATATAAAATACTGAGAGGAATAGACAAGGTGGACAGAGACAGGATGTTCCAGAGATGGGACACAGCAGCAAGGGGTCACAGTTAAAAGTTGAAGATTCAGATGAACCACAGGGATGTCAGGAAGTATTTCTTCAGTCACAGAGTTGTCAGGAAGTGGAACAGTCTGAGAAGTGATGTAGTGGAGGCAGGATCAATACATAGCTTTAAGGAGAGGTATGATAAAGCTCACGGAGCAGGTAGAGTGACTGAGTAGCTGCCAGTGAAGAAGCCAAAGACTGCAAACCTCGCTCAAGGAGAAAGATCTTGGGGTGAGTATAACACTGACCACATCTCCAGAAGCACACATCAACCAGATAACTGCTCAACCATATGGGTGCCTGGCAAACCTGAGAATAGCGTTCCGATACCTTAGTAAGGAATCGTTCAAGACTCTGTACACTGTGTACGTCAGGCCCATACAGCACCTATTTGGAACCCACACTTGATCAAGCACGGCAAGAAATTAGAGAAAGTGCAAAGGTTTGCAACAAGGCTGGTTCCAGACCTAGGGGGACTGTCTTACGAAGAAAGGTTAAGGGAAATCTGCCTGACGACACTGGAGAACAGGAGGGTTAGGGGAGATATGATAACGACATACGAAATACTGCATGGAATAGACAAGGTGGACAGAGACAGAATGTTCCAGAGAGGGGACACAGAAACAAGGGGTCACAATTGGAAGTTGAAGACCCAGATGACTCAAGGGGATGTTAGGAAGTATTTCTTCAGTCATAGAGTTGTCAGGCAGTGGAATAGCCTAGCAAGTGAGGCAGAGGCGTCGTAAGGGGGGGCGGGGGGCGGGCCGCCCCGGGTGAGACCATTTAGGGGGCGTCACCATAGAGCCTCTAAAGAAGGTTACACTAATGACCAAAACTATGCTGCAGCAACCTAAGACGAAAATTCTTCGTTTCTATATAGCCTATTATAGGATTACAGAGTACAAATAGGCCATAGGGAAAATCATTGATTTTCATGATGTGATAGATGATTTTGCAGGATTGAAGGCAAGGAATGAAATATCAGATTCTTTGAGATGTTACCTGTACTCATGGTTAAATCGGAACTAGTGTTTTTCTTTATTTTTCAAGTTTTTTGTTTCATTGTTGAAGAATAATAAGTGTAGGATGTGTTGGTGTACTCAAAGTGATATTTGGGTTTATGTTTCCTCAATATTACTACGATTATTTATTTTATCATTAATAAAGTTCGGTTTATGGCCTTTAAACTTTCTCATTGTTAAACATTAGTCACTGGTCATGCAGCAGTGATGTAACTGGTCATGCAGCAGTGATGTAACTGTTCATGCAGCAGTGATGTAACTGGTCATGCAGCAGTGATGTAACTGGTCATGCAGCAGTGATGTAACTGTTCATGCAGCAGTGATGTAACTGTTCATGCAGCAGTGATGTAACTGGTCATGCAGCAGTGATGTAACTGGTCATGCAGCAGTGATGTAACTGGTCATGCAGCAGTGATGTAACTGGTCATGCAGCAGTGATGTAACTGTTCATGCAGCAGTGATGTAACTGTTCATGCAGCAGTGATGTAACTGGTCATGCAGCAGTGATGTAACTGGTCATGCAGCAGTGATGTAACTGGTCATGCAGCAGTGATGTAACTGGTCATGCAGCAGTGATGGAACTGGTCAGGCAGCAGTGATGTAACTGGTCATGCAGCAGTGATGTAACTGGTCATGCAGCAGTGATGTAACTGTTCATGCAGCAGTGATGTAACTGGTCATGCAGCAGTGATGTAACTGGTCATGCAGCAGTGATGTAACTGGTCATGCAGCAGTGATGTAACTGTTCATGCAGCAGTGATGTAACTGGTCATGCAGCAGTGATGTAACTGGTCATGCAGCAGTGATGTAACTGGTCATGCAGCAGTGATGCAACTGGTCATCAGCAGTGATGTAACTGGTCATGCAGCAGTGATGCAACTGGTCATGCAGCAGTGATGCAACTGGTCATGCAGCAGTGATGTAACTGGTCATGCAGCAGTGATGTAACTGATCATGCAGCAGTGATGTAACTGGTCATGCAGCAGTGATGTAACTGGTCATGCAGCAGTGATGTAACTGGTCATGCAGCAGTGATGTAACTGGTCATGCAGCAGTGATGTAACTGGTCATGCAGCAGTGATGTAACTGGTCATGCAGCAGTGATGTAACTGGTCATGCAGCAGTGATGTAACTGGTCATGCAGCAGTGATGTAACTGGTCATGCAGCAGTGATGTAACTGGTCATGCAGCAGTGATGTAACTGGTCATGCAGCAGTGATGGAACTGGTCATGCAGCAGTGATGGAAGTGGTCATGCAGCAGTGATGTAACTGGTCATGCAGAAGTGATGTAACTGGTCATGCAGCAGTGATGTAACTGGTCATGCAGCAGTGATGTAACTGGTCATGCAGCAGTGATGCAACTGGTCATCAGCAGTGATGTAACTGGTCATGCAGCAGTGATGCAACTGGTCATGCAGCAGTGATGCAACTGGTCATGCAGCAGTGATGTAACTGATCATGCAGCAGTGATGTAACTGGTCATGCAGCAGTGATGTAACTGGTCATGCAGCAGTGATGTAACTGGTCATGCAGCAGTGATGTAACTGGTCATGCAGCAGTGATGTAACTGGTCATGCAGCAGTGATGTAACTGGTTATGCAGCAGTGATGTAACTGGTCATGCAGCAGTGATGTAACTGGTCATGCAGCAGTGATGTAACTGGTCATGCAGCAGTGATGTAACTGGTCATGCAGCAGTGATGTAACTGGTCATGCAGCAGTGATGTAACTGATCATGCAGCAGTGATGTAACTGGTCATGCAGCAGTGATGTAACTGGTCATGCAGCAGTGATGGAACTGGTCATGCAGCAGTGATGTAACTGATCATGCAGCAGTGATGTAACTGGTCATGCAGCAGTGATGTAACTGGTCATGCAGCAGTGATGTAACTGGTCATGCAGTAGTGATGTAACTGGAGTTTACTACCCCTATCCCCCCGCCCTTGGATTTCATGGGGGTGACACCAAAGATGTCACCCCGGGTGACACCAAAGATTCCGCCCCGGATGACACCAACCCTAGCGACGCCTCTGATTAGTGAGGTAGTGGAGGCAGGATCCATACATAGCTTTAAGATGAGGTATAATAAAGCTCATGGAGCAGGGAGAGAAAGGACCTAGTAGCACTCAGTGAAGAGGCAGGGCCAGGAGCTGAGTATCGACCCCTGCAACCACAATTAGGTAAGTACACACACATACAAACACAGTGGGTGCCTGTAATGAGCAGGGTGCCACAGGGATCAGTCCTAGGACCGGTACTGGTTCTTGTTTTTGTGAACATGACGGAAGGAATCAACTCCAAAGTGTCCCTGTTTGCTGATGATGTGAAGTTGATGAGAAAAATTCAATCGAACGAGGACTAGGCAGAACTACAGAGGGATCTGGACAGGCTGTAGGACTGGTCCCGCAACTGGATCCTGGAGTTCAACCCCACCAAGTGCAAAATCATGAAGATTTGAGAAGGGCAAAGACGACCACAAACGGAGTACAGTCTAGGGGGGGCCAGAGACTACAAACCTCACTTGGTGTTATCCTTGAGGATAACACCGGGCACATCTGAGGCGCACATCAACCATATAACTGCAGCAGCATAAGGCCGATTGGCAAAACTGAGAACAGCATTCCAACATCTTAATGAGTCATTCAGGACCCTGTACACTGTGTACATCAGGCCTATACTGGAGTATGCATCGCCAGTTTGGAACCCTCACCTAGCCAAGCATGTAAGGAAGCTAGAGAAAGTGCAAAGGTTTGCAACAAGACTAGTCCTGGAGCTAAGAGGTATGTCCTACCAGGAGAGGTTAAGGGAAATCAACCTGACGACACTGGAAGACAGGAGAGATAGGGAAGGTATGATAAGGACATATAAATTACTGAGAGGAATTGACAAGGTGGACAGAGACAGGATGTTACAGAGATGGGACACAGCAGCAAGGGGTCACAGTTAGAAGTTGAAGATTCAGATGAACCACAGGGATGTCAGGAAGTATTTCTTCAGTCACAGATTTGTCAGGAAGTGGAATAGTCTGAGAAGTGATGTAGTGGAGGCAGGATCTGTACATAGCTTTAAGCAGAGGTATGCTAAAGCTCACGGAACGGGTAGAGTGACTGAGTAGCGGCCAGTGAAGAAGTGGGGCCAGGAGCTGAGACTCGACCCCTGCAACCACAACTAGGTGAGTACACACACACACACACACACATATATATATATATATATATATATATATATATATTATATATATATATATATATATATATATATATATACATATATTATATATATATATATATATATATATATATATATATATATATATACATATATTATATATATATATATATATATATATATATATATATATATATTATATATATATATATATATATATATATATATATATATATATATATATTACCTTTAAATAGTAACAGCAAAGTTTTTTAAGAGAATGTATTTGGAAATAATCAGCAAGGGTAAGGACATTTTGCACATTGTTTTCTGTTAGCGTGGCCTTGCCAGTGTAGATATAGGTGAGTACGGTGTTGAGGATGGCTCCTGAAACATCCTCCAGGACCAGCGTGTGGGTCTGTCCCTCCCTCAGCCCGGCTGACAGCATTCCTCTGAAACAAAAAAGTAATTTTATAACTGAGACTATGAGAAATAATATTAATTTTATAACTAAAACTATGATAAATAATATTAATTTACCTTCTAAAATCTTTACTAATATTGTTAAAAAGCACTCTGCTTCAGTTGGAGACGGATATTGTGTGAAAATAATAATAACAATAATAAGTTTATTTCTTTATGCCATACAAATAATAAAGTTTAAAGAATACAATGGTAGGCACAAAAGAAAGCCACTAACTATGCAGTGCATTTCAGGCAACTAATCATAAGGCTTACATGTTACTTAATAACCAACACATAGGAGAGAGGAGCTTACGACGACGTTTCGGTCCGACTTGTACCATATACAAAGTTACACTAACTGGCCGTTCTCTTTCTGACAGACTCAAGGAGCACAAAAGTAGTGCTAGGCTTGCCGATACCAACTCTTTTTGTCATGTCAGAGATCACAGTCATCCTACTGACTGGTCTTCTGCTAAAACCGTCTACCCTACTTCTAACTTTCACAGTCGCCGTTTGGTTGAATCCTCCCTTATACACAACTTTCCTTGTATGAATCTTAGTCCTGGCTTTGTTTCTGTAGATGCCTTTCTTTCCGATTACATTGTAAAATGCTCCAAACTTCAAAACACTCATGACTTGACCTGATTTTTTTTCCTTGTCCTTCTTCCCCTTTCCTCTTTGTTCTTTGTGTTTTGTTTCTTCTGCCGTGGGTGTTTGGTCCATTATAATATTTTCCCCTCTGTGTTTTTGTTCCTACCCTTTGTGGGCCCCTAGCTCCCTTGTGATGAATGGTTTGAAAAACCGACAAGTTGAAGATTGAAACACTTATGCAGCATATGGGAATGTGCAAGAAAGGTATAAAATACCGACAATATGAAAGTTAAGACACATGTGCAACATCTGAATATCTTTATTGTAGTAGACGTTTCGCCATCCAGTGGCTTTATCAATACAGATTCTAGGACATAATAGGAAGACAGTAGAACTATATACAAAAGATGAGGTAATCAGTCCCTCGGCCTTGGAGTTAGTGTTCACAGCATCGTGGTGGAGGAGAATCTGGAGCAAAGACAAGAAGACTGGCGGTTTATATAGGCGTCCCTATCCACTGACGCCTATATAAACCGCCAGTCTTCTTGTCTTTGCTCCAGATTCTCCTCCACCACGATGCTGTGAACACTAACTCCAAGGCCGAGGGACTGATTACCTCATCTTTTGTATATAGTTCTACTGTCTTCCTATTATGTCCTAGAATCTGTATTGATAAAGCCACTGGATGGCGAAACGTCTACTACAATAAAGATATCCAGATGTTGCACATGTGTCTTAACTTTCACAGCATATGGGAATCTTTATTCAGGAAACGTTTCGCCACACAGTGGCTTCATCAGTCCAATACAAAGAGGAAGGCTTAAGGAGAGGAGGAGTATGAGGTAATCAGTCCCTCAGCCTAGAGTCGATGTGTTCAGTCCATCTTGTAGATTGATGGACTGAACACATCGATTCCAGGCTGAGGGACTGATTACCTCATACTCCTCCTCTCCTTAAGCCTTCCTCTTTGTATTGGACTGATGAAGCCACTGTGTGGCGAAACGTTTCCTGAATAAAGATTCCCATATGCTGCATAAGTGTCTCAATCTTCAACCTAGCTCCCTTGCAGTGCCTCTCTTTCTTAGTCTTTGACTGACTCCACTACTACCACTACTACCCCTACCACTACCTCTCTTCTTACTCATACTACTTCTCTGGTCCCGTCCCTGTCTGCTGGCTTATATTATCTCCCTCATTCTCTCCTTTCTGTTCGCTCCTCACCTCAAGAAGTGTTCCTTCGATCCCCGTCGGGGAGGGGAATCTATAATCATCGTACCAGCGCCTGCCTTACTCCTTCATGATGCTTGCAAACCGTGTGAGGATCAAACCCAACAGTGGAGTAATAAATGACTACTAAACTTGACCTTGCTGCCGCTGTAAAGACTTGCCTACAGGTTAAATTTACAGCCATCCACTCGACGAAAGACTCATTCATCGTCGTCTGTACTGACGATTATGAAGCCTCAAAGCTGATCGCCGACACTTCTATGAAAACCCTCAGAGACAGACAGTTCACCATCTCCCCTTCACCTTTTTTGCTAGCGAAACGTTCCGTTTTCGTCAAACGGCTGGACAAACTCGTCACTTCTTTATCGACTGAGGATCTCAAGACCTCTATCGAGGAACAAAATACCTGGGCGTCGATTGAACATATCACCAAAATCCCCAACGCCTCTACAATGATCAAGCTAATCTTCTCCGACATCGATATGGCTACTAGAGCACTGTCTGACGGCCTAGCTACCTCCTACTATCATATCCATCCAAGTCACATAGAACCCGAACGCTTCGTCCACATCTCGCCATGCTGGACCTGTGCAAGAAAGGTATAAAATACCGACAATATGAAAGTTAAGACACATGTGCAACATCTGGATATCTTTATTGTAGACGTTTCGCCATCCAGTGGCTTTATCAATACAGATTCTAGGACATAATAGGAAGACAGTAGAACTATATACAAAAGATGAGGTAATCAGTCCCTCGGCCTTGGAGTTAGTGTTCACAGCATCGTGGTGGAGGAGAATCTGGAGCAAAGACAAGCAAGCAAGCAAGCAAGTGCAGGTAAGATCCCAATGGGATGAGCGGGGAAGACGGGACAGACGAAGAATAGCGCTGGAGAGGAGTGTTCTTAGTCGTAGAAATAGAGCCAGGGCTTGACCCAGCAGCTAAGGCGATCGGTGGGACAGACTTGGGGGAAAAAAACGGAAGAGAGCAAGCTGTGTATGGAACTGAACTTCTCCAGGCTGAGGGACCGGCAACCCCAAATTCCACGACCTCAAGGGCGATGGACCGACCACACCGCCCCCACACCTCCACTGCTCCCGCCCACCTTCTGTACCGAAGAAGCCTACTGTGTAGGCGAAACGCCCCGGAACAAAGTCGCCATCTGTTGCCTATATGTCTCACCCACCAGTCTCGTGGTAGGTGAGGTCTTTGAGTCTCGAGAGCTGGAAGTTTCCAGGTCGCAGGAGGGCATCAGACATGTGGGAGGTTATTTTAGTAGTTGAGGAGGCAGGTTTGCAGTGGAGCATTTGCAAACTTCTTGAAGCTGCTCCTGGAGAGGGTGGTATAGCGTTATCTTGTTGGAAAAAGTGAAACGAAGAGGCTTGATGAACTCAAGAACTTGCGTGAGTGTGAAGTGAAGAGGTGATTCGCAGGCATACTTGACTGTTCCATCACCGAGGCCTTTGTATAGTTCAGAGCAGGTCATGGTGTCAGCGTTCGAGGGAGAGGTGTAGAAAGTAAGGTTTTCCCAAGAGGGTGTGCTGGAGTCGTCGCTATCTGCTTCGTCGGGGGATTCGTCAGGAAATTCTTGTTCAATTGTTTCTACAGTGATTGTGTCAAGAGGAGGCTGGGAGTCTAGAGTATTTGCGGTCTGGCTGGTTGTTGGTGGTTGTTGAGAGGTGGCAGTGGTCACTGGGCGTGGTTCAGGAGTGTTTTTTTGGGGCAGAGTTAGGATTTGGGCCTGAAGTTGATGTGAAGTTAGTGATGTTTTGGGATAATCTTGAGGAAGTTCCTGTGATGTTGGCGAGTCAGGAAAGTTGAATGACGGCATGTTGTTAAGACGGAATAGTTCGTTAATTGTAGTGTTGAATGTGCCTGGGTTTGCTGCATTTGGCAAGGTGTGCATACATCATGCAGTACAACACCTTAGAGGGAGCAGCGTCAGGGAGTGCAGAAAGGGAATTGCTGGATAGAGATGACTGCTGTGTGGCTTGTAGAATTCTGGTGGGGGTCCGACTGGAGTTTGAAATGGCGGTGTATGTCGGCGATTTGGGACTATTCTTCTTGGTTTCTTCTTTAATTTTTTTTCGACATTACTTCTTTTCGTAGTGGGCATTTTGCTGCAAGGGTATGATGAGTACCCTTGCAGTTAAGACATGTTGGAGTGGCATTGGTGGTGGTGCAGGCTTTGAAGTTATGACCTTCTTTTCCACAGGTAGAAACAGAACTTTTTGTCTTTAATGGGGCAGTCCTTTGTTGAATGTTGATAAGAGTAACAGTTTCCAACAGGGAGAGACATGGGCAAAACGTTCAGGTTCAATGTGGCGTGGATGTATGTGGTAATATGAGATAGCTAGTCCATTAGCGAGTGCTTGGGTAGCCATATCTATGTTTGAAAAGGTGATTTTGATCATAGATGAGGCATTGGGAATTCGTGTGATGGTGTCTACAGAGGCCCAGGTGTTTTGGTCTTCGATAGAGGTCTTCAGTTCATCCGTTGGAATAGATGTGATTATCTTATCCAATTGTTTAACAAAAACTGAACGTTTCGCCAGCAAGGAGGGAGACGGTGATATGTTAGGTAAGACACATATGCAACAGTTAGGTATCTTTATTTCGAAACGTTTCGCCTACACAGTAGGCTTCTTCAGTCGAGTACAGAAAAGTTGATAGAAGCAGAAGATACTTGAAGACGATGTAATCAGTCCATCAACCTAACTGTTGCATATGTGTCTTACCTAACAATCTGTCGGTATTTTATACCATTTTAATGTTCATTCTGTCAGACACTGCAACACAAGGGTATCTTGGTACAGACCATCAACTTCGACCTCTACTAGTGAGAACGGCTGGGTTTGAGAGGGACCTGCCCTCCCAAAGCAACCTACGTCTCACCTCCTGGCACTATATAAAGGCTCCATCCTGTCACTTCAACTTCATATTGTTTCAGACAACGGAACAATGCTCTTCTCCAGACTGAGGGACTGACCACCTCAAAACTTTAAGGGTGATGGACTGATTACATCGTCTTCAAGTATCTTCTGCTTCTATCAACTTTTCTGTACTCGACTGAAGAAGCCTACTGTGTAGGCGAAACGTTTCGAAATAAAGATACCTAACTGTTGCATATGTGTACATCAAAATGGTATACAATACCGACAGGTTGTTA